GAGAGAGAGAGAGAGAGTGTGTTAGGGTGTGTGTGTGTGTGTGCTGTATGAGTGTGTGTGTGTGTGTGTGAGGAGGGCCCTGGAAGAGACCTGGAGTTTTCACAGATCGGCTGCATTAACAGAGCTGATTACACGGCTCGCTCTGATTGGTCAATGTCGCCGTTCTGCGCTCTAATTTTATAATTATATGGAGTGAGTTGTTTTTTTTGTTGTTGTAAAAGCTGCTTCTTTCCATCACTACAGGTCACTATAGCTTTATACCACATTTATAGCTTTGAATGTTTCTAGTTTTATAAGTTTATTTAATGTAAATATTTGTTTTGCCATCACCCTCTGATTTCTTACAATAAGTTGTTAGTTAGTCTAAGGATCAGTGGTAGTCTTGACTCTAAAAGCTTCTTTACAAGGAGAAATGTTGCATAATACTTTTGTTGAATGGCTCTTTACATTTTTTTTCTCACAATAAGGTATATTGACGAGCTCTTTAACTCACAAAATGTAATTAAACGTGTAAAAACGTGTAAAAATGTAATTATATATATATGTGTGTGTGTGAAGTGCCTGATGTTCTTATAGAAGTTTGACTGAGATTCAAGTGTCTTTACTGATAACTAGAGGTGAGATCGACAAATGCGTTTCATTCTTGAATGTGTGTTTTTCAGGAAAACACCAGTGAAAGACTGTGTGTGTGAGAGAGACTCATGCATCTGTGTGTGTGTGTGTGTGAGAGAGACTCATGCATCTGTGTGTGTGTGTGAGAGAGACTCATGCATCTGTGTGTGTGAGAGAGAGAGTTTCAGCAGCGCTCGTAGACCTGCTGCCGTCAGATCCGCACTAAAGCGATCACAGCTGAGGACTTTTTGGAGTTGCATCAATATTGGATGAGCAACCTGTCTGAAAGCGTGGCGTTCCCGAGTTCCCGCTCCCCATCCTGCTCATTCACGGCCCATCTGAACACATTTAGGTGTGCGACAGCAACAAGCCGAGAGCAGGTGTCCTTCCGTTCGCCTTTTATATTTATACACGTTTATGGAAAATATAAAGCGTGAAGCGTGCTGATCGCTCGCTCATTGAGCCGCGCCGCGCCGGCGCATAAAGGCCCTTTCAGGCGCGAGAGGAGAGAGGAGCGCGCGCGGCTTTGTGCACCGCGGAAGGGTTTGTGTGTATTTGGTTAGTTACGGCAATTACGGTCACTAACTGACAGCCAAACGCATGCGGGCTCAAACACTCACTGTCGAACATCTGCTGAGAGATTTGCATATTAATTAACCCATATTAACTCTAATTATTCTGGGAAATTATCAAATAAATTAAATTTTCTAATTTTAACCTTTCCTTTGCTGACGGATGTGAGCGGATAGCCCTGTCTGCCTCACCTTCGCTCAGGAGTGTTTGGGCCAAACACACACACACACACACACACACACATGCACTTCCATTTAATTAATGCAGATTTCTATTTAAAAATCATTTTTGCAAACACGTTTGCTGTCTAATTTTGCTCATTTTGAAAATGCCAAATATATCATTTTGGGTCACACTTTATTTTAAGGTGTCTTTGTGTAATTATTTAAGTACTGAGTTATATTAATTAACATGTTCTTACGATAGGGTTAGGGTTAGTGTAATTATGCATATGTACTGTTATTACTACGGTAAGTTCAGTGTGTAACGAGGACACTGTAAGATAAAGTAAAAATCATAATGTTAATGTTTATAATATGTAATAATGCAGTGATGATGTATTTACATGTACAGATCTGCAATATTATGCAGAACAAACACTCGTGCGTTTGGTGATCAGGCTCAACTTTATTTAAAATCCTCTTTTATATCATTCAGAGAAACTATGTTCCCTTGATTCACAGCAACAGTGTCACACACACACACACACACACACACACGCGTGTGACGTGCACTGATGGGTTCTCCGTCATCAGGACGAGGCTTCTCTGTATTGTTGGCCCTGATTTTCTGGCGTCACTCGTGTGGGAGATCTTTTGTGTGTGTGTGTGTGTGTGTGTGTGTTTCGGCTGATGGTCTGGGGGGGGGTCTGGGATCAGGCACAGATGGCGGGAACGATCCGATCCGATCCCGACCCAGCTGATACACCCCAGACCCGGGCCGGTCCCGACCCAGAGGATCCTCCAGACGCTGTAACGCAAGAAACCAGACTTTAATTCAATTAGAGAGTCCGGCTACTGTGAGCAGAAATTGTTGAACATATCCTCCCCCTTCCTGACACGCACACACACACTCACACTCTCTCTCACACACACACACACACACACACAGGAGTTGTTTTACACATCGCTGAGTTCCTCCATTCATTGGCCTCTCGAAGCTTCTCTCTCTCGCTCGTCTTTTGTTCGCCCTCGGCTGCTGCCCTTCTGTCTCTTTCTCTCTGCCACACACACACACACACACACACACACCCTTGTCTTTCTCTTGTCTTGAGGCGTTGTGGGGTTCTGCCCGTATCAGCCTGGTTTTCCAGACTCGGGAAGAGATTCCTATCATAACAATTCATGGAAACACAATCAAACAACCGTTGCCTGCAGGAGAACGAGTGTGTGTGTGTGTGTGTGTGTGTGTGTGTGGTGTTGATGAGCATTATAGATCATCACTAGAGTTCATCACTTGACTCTGAAACTCTTCTCAAACACGTCGTCATCCGACTCGCTGTACGCTCTATAGAAATAATTATAAATATGCTTGAAAATTCCCTCTCCTGAACCAAAAATATTCCTTTTGTTGAGATAATTAAATGAAATATATATAATTTGTGTAACACTTTACAATAAGGTCCTACTAGTTAATGAAACTAACATGAGCTAATAATGACTGAACAGGATCAATAATATTGATGAATATTAAATGTTGTTGTATATTATATCGTCGTATACACCATATAAACCAATATAAAGTCAGTCCAGGGCCTAGAAGCAGTTGTGTAGCTGTTTTACACTCACTTTCAGCATGTTTCTATGGTTTTATGTGTGTGTGTGATTAGCACGGGCAGAATGACAGGCCTGTGCGGAGCGCGGCGTAGGTTAAGCCCAACATTAACGTGACTGGGGCAATTAGCAGTGTCATTTTAATTATCTGTGGCATCGGAGTGAGAGATGTTCCTTTTCTCTGTCTGCGCTGAAAGCGAGGAGCAGGTAGACGACAGAATGGCAGCCGTAATCGCCTTTGTTCCTCTGACACTCGAGAACACGCGCGGAGAGAGTGTCATCAGAGCAACTCCTGCACACAAACATCTCTCCTCTTTGTGTCGCCGCCGCGAACACAAAAGCCTGATTAGAGACGAGGTGAGGAATCGTGTAATGGCTGCCGTGACTTTAGCAGGTTGGAATTATTGTGTTGAAAAGCACAATACCGGCGTCTGTCAGACAAACAATGAGTTTATCTCCATCTGAAGCTCTCACAACCCATCATTATTCATCGGCCTTTCAAATCGCACAGCGGCGAGCGCAAACTTGATGGATTTTGTTTTTAACTTCTCAAGATGTCATTTCTACTTTGTGTGGAAGCTCTCTCTCTCTCTCTCTCTCTCTATCATAATATGCACATGCTTATTATTAGTTTTAATCCAAAGTGTCTTTATAACAAGTTCCTCAGATGCAACAGTCAGAAGTTACTAAAAGTTTGTTAGTGTTTCTGAAAGAGTCTCTTCTGCTCATCAAAGCTGCGTTTATTAGATCATAAATACAGTAAAACAGTGTAATATTACTCCAGTGTAAATCAGCTGTTCTCTATGTGAATATACAGTAAAGTGTAATTTATCATCATTACTCCAGTCTTCAGTGTCACATGATCCTTCAGAAATCACTCTAATATGAGGATCTGATGATCAACACACAGTTATGATTCACAGTTCATATTTCTGTGGAAACCGTCATGTATTTTTATTTTTCAGGATTCTTTGATGAACAGAAAGTTCAAAAGAACAGCATTTATTTGACATAGAATCTTCTGTAACATTATAAATGTTTTAATGTCACTTTTGACCAATGTAATGCGTCCTTGACAAATAAAAGTGTTGTAAAACTAACCAACACTTTGCAAGGCTGTGTGTAATAGTTTGAACACTGAGAGACCTAATGCTGGAAACATGATGTATAATTAACACCCACTGTAATATTTTAAAACGAGTGTTGATTTGGCGTACAGTGTGTGTGTGTGTGTGTGTGTCGATGATCAGTGTGTGTTGAGGACTCGTGATCGTGGATGTTACTCAGACGCTTCTCGTTTGTGATCCTCCTTTTCTGTCCAGAATTACAGCATCCGGTGTGTGTGAGTGTGTGAAGGCTGTGGTGAATGTCGATGTGTTGAAGGTGTATCTGGACCACACATCAAGTCTGAATGTCTCACTCATTCTCATTCTCTCTCTCTCTCTCTCTCTCTCTCTCTCTCTCTCTCTCTCGCGGAGAGCATTACTCAGTCTGAACTTGCCTAAACCCTTGTGGTCACACCTCTTGAAAAGGTTTTGTTTCCTCTGTCAATTGGTATTCAGCCCAGGTCACACGCACACACACACACACACACACACACACACACACACACACACACGCACCATTTTCATTTTAATTTGCACCTGTTGTGCAGTTGTTCAGGAGGCAAGTGCAGACCAGTGGATTAGCCAAAGATCATGTTAGGAACAGATATGCCTAGTGTAATCTGTGTGTCCACAGGGGAATGTTAATATAGACTGCGCTGTGTGTGTGTGTGTGTGTGTGTGTGTGTGTACCTTCTATATTTTGGGGATATATTTGTACCCAGAAGTGACTAAAACCTGACAAATCTCTACAAACCTCTCTTTAGGGACGTCCTCATTTGTAAATCTGGTATAAAAAATAAAAAATAAAGTGTGTGTGTGTTTGTGTCTTACTAACTTTAAAAAATCCACAAAATAAAGTTCTCAAACTTCGACAATGTATAAATAATGTGATAAGTGTGATAATCTGTAATATTGATCGTGTGTGTTTTTTCTCCAGTGTTGAACTTTGAGAACGTTGTAGAATCGGGATCGGAGACGGAAGAAGAAGACAGACTCCTGGTGTCGGAGGAGGGGAGTCCCATCAGCCCTGTCAATCATGAGCCCGTGGCCCCGCTCTCCCCGACCCTGGGACACGCCCTCCTGAGCAAGACCATGGATGATGAAGATGATATGAAGGACAGCGGAATAGAGAACCTTTGGAACGAAAACGACTTGCTGAGTGCGTCAGTCGACGGAACCGGTGAGCTCCGCCCTTTTTAAATATCTTAAACATGCCCCTTATGTTGAAGATACAGCCCCTTTTATCTTAGACACCCCCCTGTTCTCTTAGACATGCCCCATGTTATCTTAGACATGCCCCATTTTATCTTCGACATGCCTCTTTTCTCTTAGACACGCCCCATGTTATCTTAGACACGCCCCTGTTCTCTTAGACACGCCCCATGTTATCTTAGACACGCCCATGTTCTCTTAGACATGCCCCTTGTTCTTTTAGACATGCCTCTTTTTATTTTAGACACACCCCATATTCTCTTAGACACGCCCCTGTTCTCTTAGACATGCTTCATGTTCTCTTAGACACCCCAATGTTCTCTTAGACACCCCCCATGTTATCTTAGACACGCCCCATGTTCTCTTAGACACCCCCCTGTTCTCTTAGACACCCCCTTGTTCTCTTAGACACCCCCTTGTTCTCTTAGACACCCCCCTGTTCTCTTAGACACCCCCCTTGTTATCTTAGACACCCCTCTTGTTCTCTTAGACACCCCCATGTTACCTTAGACACCCCCCTGTAATCTTAGACACCTCCTATGATCTCTTAGACACGCTTCATGTTCTCTTAGACACCCCCCCATGTTATCTTAGAACCGCCCCCATTCTCTTAGCCACACCCCTCTGCTAGATATGGTGCTGAAACCTGCTCTCAGCCTCCAGTGCATCGATTTCTAAAACACGCCCTCTGCCATTGAAGACACACCCCCTGTTATATTTGACACACCCCCTGTTCTCTAAGCCACGCCCCTCTGCTAGATATGGTGCTGAAACCTGCCCTCAGCCTCCAGTTCCTCTTTAATTATGGCGTGTGTTTGTGTCTGTAATCGTCGGGTTTGTGGTAATTGCGTCGGTGTAAACGCGCTCCCGGTTTCCTCCTGCAAGCATCACTGGTGCAGTCAGAGACGCAGAGAGATAAATACTCGTAATGAGGGAGAGAGGTAATCATTAAGGGAGGCCAGGCTGCTGCTCAAGTCATTAAGAATCTTAAATGAAATTTTTATTTTTATGATAGCCATTTACATGTGTAATAAGAGTCAATGATTCTTAGAAGTGTATGACAGAAACATAGGAGTGTGAGAGCCCATGGAAGACAGACCATCTAAATGAGCACTTCTTCGCTATTCATTTCTGCTAATGAACTAGCTGTGCACAGAGCCGAGAGGAAGAGGGGGCTAAAAAATCTAATACGCCCCAAAGACAGAAAAGCAGAGGCTGGGTTGAGGCGTTAGGAGCACTGAAGTCGAGCAGACGCTTCATTACTAACAGGCCTCTGGTCCGGGATCCACACACTCCTGCGAACGGGAGAGTTTCAGGAGCTCCAGAACAGCAGAGAATCACCTCACACTGCGCTAACAACACCGTCTAACCAACATACAAGTTATTGTTATTATTATATTTTGAGTCTTTTCCCTGATTTTATTTTAATATAATTGAAAGTTTGTTGTGCGTTTTTTTGTGTCATTTTTATTACATTTTAAAAATCTTAAAAGTAAGTAAAAATAATATGTCTATATACCAGTAGTTTTTTTATATTTTTATTTGAGTTTATTTATTTTTTTTATATTTTTATTTAAGTTTAAGTATTTATTTTATTTCACTTAACAATTATTTCATTGTAAGTAACAGAAATTCTATATTTTTTTATTGTTTTAGTTTTAGTTAATGACAATAACCTGGCCGCAAAACATATTATTATAATTATTTTTTAATTAAATTGAATTTTTAATTTTTCAGTTTTTATTTTAACTTTATTTAATAGTTTTAGTAACTTTATTTTTTTTGTCATTTTCATTAGAAGTATATATGTATATATATAATAATAATTCTGATAAAAATATTTTAAAATGAACAGTTATTCTATTATAAGTAACAGAAATGTTATTTTTCATGGTTTTAGTTTTTGTTAACGATAATAACCCTTCCGCACACTCTCAATTAACTTCAGTCCTGTTTTCTGCTATTTCGTTTTTATATATTTATATATATTTGGATAATATGTACACAAACGTTAGAGTGGATATAGTCGATGATATCGTTGTTGTTATGATCTCCAACATGATGCCACGAATGCTGTTGATAAAGCTTAACTCCTATTGAACCCGGAACATTCCTTTAATTTGATAAACCCTCTCGGAGCCGGAATGTCTGTGATTCCGCTGTGTTGCAATTCCATGATGTGTGTGTGTGTGTGATACAAACCACGGCCATGTTTCTGTGCTGCTGGGTGACGTTCATTAACTCCAGAGGAAGAAGCCAAAGTCTCTCTCTCTCTCTCCAAACGTGTGGGCATTCCCTCTGTGTTTCTGCGTTTGGTGCCGGTGTGTCTGCTCTGGTACCTCGACTCACAGCTCGTCCTGAGATAAGCTCTCTCTCCCTCACTCTCTCTCTCTCTTCTCCTCGTGTGTTTGCTCCGGTCAGTCAGATCCGTCCTTGACTCGCTCTCCTCTCCCATAACGCCCTTCTCCGGTGTGTGACACTGTTATCACCGACACAAACGTGAAGTGAATCACCTGGCCTCCTCGTTCCTCCAGGCCGTGTGTTCTCAGATGTTTGGAGAGTAAATCATCGTGAGGAATAGATTGGACACAGGACTCTTACTCACACACCAGAGCTTTCCCTCGTTCCCGAACAGACTGCGGACTGCAGGAAAAGAGATATCAGGAAAAACTCCAATAATAACTGCGCTTATTAAAGAAGTAAATAGAGTCGATTTGGATTATATTGATTATTCATTTTGTTGACAGTGAACATCATGGCCACTCATCTGTGTTATTAACGGATGCCGGTTTCTGACAGGAGGTTCAGGAACACACACACACACAGATGATCTCAGAATAATGATATTGAAGTGTGTGTTTTGTGCATTTGTGTTTCTCATGTTGTCAGTGGTTTAATTAGAGACTCAGTGTTTAGTTTCTGTGCCAGAGACGGATCAGTGAACTGAAGATACACACTCTCTCTCGCTGTGTGTGTGTGTGTGTGTGTGTTTGCTTGTTCAGGTGGATGGAACATTCTTGAGCTGAGTTTGCTCTCTCTTGTTTCCCAGCGTGCTCGGCTTGTTCCTCTGCTGTGTGTGTGTGTGGACGAGATGTTATGCAGTGTGTCAGTGTGTTAATAGACTCTCTTCTGTGTGTCTCGGCCTCAGATGAACTGAAGGGAGATTATGACACGATGGGACCCGACGCCGGTTTGCAGCCAGTTGGGAACGGTGCAGGTGAGTGTGTTGATTCGCTTGACATTTTTAAAGAATCATATTAAAATGATATGTTGTAGTTTCCAGCTCTACTAGAACAGGTTTTCCCGCTTGAATGTTGATTATTCTCCTCATATTCTCCATTGTTGAGGCTCCTCTCTTCCCAGTCTGTCAGTAACACTCTGTTTACTTCCTGTCTCTATGAAACCCCTCCTTCTGAAAGCACACTGTGCTCTGATTGGTCAGCTGGAGCAGTGTGTTGTGATTGGTCGAGCGCTTTGAGTGTGTCTGGGAAATGCCCCGCCCCTTTCCATAACCGCCACTACTAACCAGGCCCCGCCCCTTTATTATGCGCATGAATTATTATAATGAGGAATATTGTGACGTGTTCGAAACTCAAAATACACTGGAGGCGTTTCAGGAGTTCAGGAACACTGACACTGATATAGAGGAGAACACACACATCAACATCACACACAATCCTCTTTATAGAGTTATGAGTGTTTGAAAGGCAGAGCTGTATCGATATCGGCAATAACCCATCGTGACTCTGAACACAGTGAGAAATATCATCGCTGTAGTCTGTTTGAGATCATCACACACACTGATAACCGGAGCTGTCACTGGTGATGTACTTCAGGAGGAGGGATGTGTAGTTTTAATAAAGCTTTCTAATGTTAGACACACACTCCAGAGATGCACATCTCGAGTCGGCCCACGATCCGCGACTGGAGAACATTAGGAACCGTAGGACTCTACTCTCTTTCTTCTGCGAGCGCCAACTTCCCCAAATCGCATTTCAGGCCAAAATCTAATTTGTGCGCAAACTGGATTTGTTTGGATCATGTACGCCGCAGACCCAGCGAGGAGCTGAACGTGTTGATCGTCCGCTCGCGTGAGGGAGAGCGAGTGACGGCAATCGTTCGCTCTGTTAAATGATGTTAAAGGGCTGCCGGCTCTCTGACATTTTCAAGACGTTTTTGACAGCGCCACAGTCCAGCGGCTCGACCTTTGCACAAATGAGACCATAAAATGTTTATGTCAGACAAACCTCACTTGAGTTTATACCTTACACAAGCCCATCCTAATTAAAAGGTAGCTTGTACTCTCTGGCGTAATATTTAACTTGTCAAAGCCATGTATGCGCTGTTAGATCATATTCTAGAACGTAAAACACCTTCAGTTTCCTGCTTCTGCTCTTTTATTTTTACAATACGTCTTGAAGCTCATGGGATAGCTCAGTTCTTGGTTAAGTTTCGTGTTTTCTCAGATGATTCTCCTAGAAATCAAAACCATATGATTCATAAATGCGTATCAAGGGTTATAGTACATTGACTTTAACTCTCGAGGTTTGTTGAGATACACACCTTCACACCCCACGCAGAGCCAATGATTCATTAGTCGTCCTTCAGTGTAGAGCAATGCATTGAGTATAGAGAATATCGAGATCTCTTACTTTTAATTTCTGACTTTGATATGCCGGTAAATCTGAGCACAAGATTGATTTGATTGTCTCAGGAACTCTCGTTTCCCTTTCATTGCTGTAGGAGAAACAGCTGAGACTTTTCATGCACTTTTTTAAATGCCAAAAGAAATTTTCACATCACAAATCTCTCTCATTTTGAGATGTGAATCCGCCTCGTTAGGAGTTTGATTAGAGAACGCAGGAGCTAAGTTGGGTCCATGTCTGATTGCCTCTAATACATTTAGAAGTAGAAAAAGGGTTTATCGTTAAAAGCTTTCCCACAATTCGAATGGTTCTCCCGTTAGATTAAGTCATATTTCTTCTTTTAGTGGCCATTAGGTGGCTAGATACGGCAGTAATTTAGACATATCCCTCCCAGAACGTTTCTCTAATGTTCCTGCGTTCTTTTATCACAGATGCTGCCGCATGTTTCCATCGCCGCTCTATATTTCTCACATGGTCAGGTTTATTTAAAGGCTTTCTCTGTGTGTGTGTGTCTAGTGAAGAGCGTCCACTGCGCCGCTGAGTTCGAGGACTTCTTCGGGAAGCGTAAACTGGTGGACAGTGAAAGTCATGTGGTCAGCATTGCCGAATACCTCCAGAGAGGAGACACAGCCATCATCTACCCCGAGGCTCCCGAGGAACTGTCCCGCTCCCGGCTCGCCACGCCCGAAGCCCAGGGCCACGAGGAGAACGGTGAGCGCCGCCAGCTGTCGTCTGACTGTTTACCTTTAGAGCGAGGGGCAGCTGTCCGAGTGGTGAAATCCTGAAGCCCAAATCTCCCGTCCCGAGGGGTTACGCCGCATACCTCTCTTATGAAGAACGTGTGAAAAATTAGACGTGCGAGCCAGTCGAAGCCATTACAACGGAGAGAACACAACTGGCCCAATCGCGCTGCGTTTGCCTTTAAACCGCTGTAAACAACTGCGTTTAGCTATGGTTAGCAGCAGTTTAGTCACGGTTAATTCTGGGTTTAGCATCTGGTTATTTCAAAGTTTGCGATCTCGAGCTCCAAACGCTGCTGTCGTGCACATGAATGGAAAGAACACATTAAAGTTTCTGTCTTTGGTAGAGCGGTGTCGTGTAAGCTAATCACTAATGATCTTTACAATGGAAGTGAATCAATCAAAACTAACTTTAGATTAGATTCTAGATCTGCTGCGAAGCCTAAACACTCTCTGCAACTTTAATTTGACTTCTCCTCCAAGATCCTGATTTAACATTGGACGTCACCAACATTGCATCGAAATGAAACTGCTCAAAGTATTGGCTAAATTTAATGTTAACAGAAACTGCGTAGAACCAACAATATATTTTCCAAATGAATGCATCTACAGAGCACAATTCTCATGTTTGCCATCATATGTAATGCTAGCTGATAAGATGGACTCAATTTATTATATAATTCTTTCTCTCTTTTTTAAGTATATTTACTTTACTTTGGAACTGACACTACCACGTTTTTACTTTTTACTTTATTTTTTTTTAATTGGCTGCAGTTATTGGCCAATGCCAATCTTCTTATAATTGGCCAAATATAATCCAAATTAATTGGCCTGGCTGACATATCTGTCTATCACCGGTACGTTCTCATGTAAAGAGTGGAAAAGAGCGTGTTACATTTCTTCCAGCACATAAAGCCCATGAGCAAAACTCAGCGAATCGTGTGAATTTCGAGTGCACTTACTGTGAGTGTGTGTGTCCATGCGTTGGACACGGTGAGTGTGTGTATGGGTGGCGGTGCCAACCTTGACGATGGCACACAGCGGAGCAGATTGTACAGATACCTCCTCATACCAGGCTGGGCACAGCGCCCATTCGCTGCCATTGATTTGCTGACCTTTTGGCCCGTTGCCCCTCTCTCTGGTTCTGCAGACCTGCCACCTGGAACTCCAGATGCTTTCGCCCAACTGTTGACCTGCCCCTACTGCGACCGGGGCTACAAACGCTTGACTTCCCTAAAGGAACACATCAAGTACCGGCACGAGAAAAACGAGGAGAACTTCGCCTGCCCTCTGTGTAGCTACACGTTTGCTTACCGCACTCAGCTGGAGAGACATATGGCCACACACAAGCCAGGCCGAGATCAGGTGAGCCCAACCTCCTCTCTCCCTCTCTCTACATCTAATGTGCTGTATTCCCTCTGAGAAAAGATATCATTTTGATTGGCAATCATTATTAATTTTTCATGGCATTTTGAAGATGCAGATCTTTTAATGGTTATAGCCTTAATTGAGGCCTAAATGGTTTTTTGATGGCCTGCTCTGATATGATTCTGCAAGTCTTATATTCACGATCGAATGACTATGTTAATTTCCAATTTAGAAATTGTATCCGCTCTTTAGCTTTTCTTTTTTATGTTCTTTAAAAACCAGTTTCTCCGCGGTGACAGGGTAACACATCATAATTTCAATGTGCGCAAATGATAAACGCAAGTCGAGCGCTCAGCGTTTTATCTCTTAACAATCTGTTGAAGCATTATTTACACACATTATATGGGTTGTTGTGGAAACAGGTAGAAACAGTGTAAAACGAGGTGAAATGAGTCTCCGGAGACTAAGCTACTTCAAACCTATCTGCTCAAGTGTAGTGTGGCATCATGATTCCTCTTGTAATCATCTGAGCTGAGGTACTGCAGCTCTTTTATCTCTCAGACGTGACGTTCTCTCTAGAACAGACTGATTTGACACACGACGAGCTGCCAACTTCTTCACCTGATGCCACGGCCCGCTCAAAACATAAACAGATGGCCCATTCTGCACCCGTGACCTCTCTAATCCACAAATGACTTCCTATTTGTTGGTCTTTGTTTGTGTGCTTCATCTCGAAAGACTTTTTCCATTGAAATCAGTCCGGATGTTCGGGACATACACCGGAGCGTCTGGTCTGCCGATAACGCCGGTTCTTACTCGCTGTGCGCGACAAATATGCAAATGCCCAATCAAACGCTCCGCCCACATCGTGCTTGACACACTTGTGAGCGCGACAGTATCACACCGGGTGGAAAAATCCCTCTCCTCTCGCTGCTGCCAGTCACAATTAGACCGGCGGAGTGACTGTATCATATGGAGGGTAATGGCAGGACTAAAACCTGCCTCCATCCTCAGAGGGAAGGTGGGGGGCGTAAAGCAGCTGTTGCTGTTTGTTTATGCGACTCAGCAACATATGAGCGAATGGTGGGGTCCCTCCCCGGCGTGGGCCGCACGGCTCCCCGCTTGATGTTTGAAGGTTGCCGCTGTTTGAACAATCCTCCCTGTGTCCTGTGCTTTATGCCATCTGTCTCCAGTGGAATGCGGGCCTCTCTCTCTCCCCACCAGTTGTCGGAGCCGATCATGGGCGGCGCTCACAGGCCTTTTGTGTTCCTCTGCCCGTTCGACATACTCACCTCCCACTCTGAATTAATTGTGCTCGCCTGGTGTGCTCTCCGCTTCTCCGCACTGACGCCCGTATTGTTGTTGTTGTTGTTGTTATTGTTATTATATTTTGATTTTCGAGGCTCTGCTTTGAATTGCAAATGCGAGGGGTGCAGCGTTCATGTTCTACCTTTGAACAGCAAATGAAGTGCCTGCCTACGAGCCGCATTCACGCATTATTAAAGAGACGTTTGAAGCCTTTAAACAGTCTGCAAATGTGCGTCCCAATTACGAAATTGCAACATTTATGTGAGCCCACCTTTTTGTGTAATGAACTCTTTGCTCAGGTATCTGAAGGATGTGTTGGTTAAATATGCGAGATTTATTTGGAACGATTATGCTAAATTAGATGAAGTGGATCATTTATGCCTCCCTAATGAGGAAAAAAGTCTTGGAAATAGGGTTTTTGTTTGTTTTTTTTTCGCTGCCAATGCAGCGTTTCTGGCTCTGGAGTCAGGAAATGAAAAGGTATGAGATCCTCTGTTATCGCTGCTCAAATGCACCCAAGCAAAGCAAGATGATGCTTTGCAACAGGAGCCATTTGGCCCGTCGTGAAATTATTCAGTGAAATCTTGCCTGTTGTGTGTGATTGTGTGGTTTTTTTTGTGCAAGAGAAGCTCATGTGGGTACTTTCTCGTCCACAGCACCAGATTCTCAACCAGGGCTCTGGCAACCGCAAGTTCAAATGCACTGAATGTGGCAAGGCCTTCAAATACAAACACCATCTAAAGGAGCACCTGCGGATACACAGTGGTACGTCCTTTTCTTTCTTTCATTACCCGTTGCATTGGTTAAGAATGTTTTGATTCTAGATCAGAATGAATTGGTTGTTTGTTTGTTTTGTCCCAGCCAACTCTTCACGAGAAGTTTGATTAGAGGACTCATTACTTTGAAAGGAGTGCAATCTCTCACTTCTTCTTTGCCTTTCTTCACTGTAGGTGAGAAGCCATACGAATGTCCCAACTGCAAGAAACGATTCTCACACTCCGGATCGTACAGTTCACACATAAGCAGCAAGAAATGCATCGGACTGATCGCCATCAACGGCAGAGTGAGGAACAACCTGAAGACGGGTTCATCTCCAACCTCTGCGTCTTGCTCCCCTACGAACACTGCCATTTCACAGCTACGACACAAACTGGAGAACGGCAAACCGCTCGGCCTGCAAGACCAGTCCAACCACCTCAACATCAAATCTGAACCACTGGACTTCAACGACTATAAGCTGATGATGGCCTCTCACGGCTACGGTACGGGCAGCCCGTTCCTGAACGGGGCTATGAGGGGAGGCAGTCCACTGGGATTTCACAACTCCCAGAGTCCCCTTCAACACCTGGGCATGAGTATGGAGGCACAAATGCTGGGATACCCATCTCTGGGAAACAACCTGAGCGAGGTACAGAAAGTCCTGCAGATCGTGGACAACACAGTGTGTCGACAAAAGATGGACTGCAAGCCAGAGGAGATCTCCAAGTTGAAGGCCTACATGAAGGAGTTGGGTTCCCACATAGAGGAACAGAAGCAAGGACTCGCCGCTCACGGTGGACCCCAAAACGCTCTTCCACTCATCAGCCACAACGGAGCCACCAAGAGCATCATAGACTACACGCTTGAGAAGGTCAACGAAGCCAAAGCCTGCCTCCAGAGCTTGACTAACGACTCTAAGAGGCAAATTAGCAATATCAAGAAAGAGAAGGCCAATCATATGCTAGATTTAGGTATAGAGGACAAGTCGCATGAGAATAACAATCTAATGTTTACACCGTTTTCCTGCCAGTATTGCAAGGAGACCTTTCCTGGTCCCATTCCCCTGCACCAGCATGAGCGCTACCTTTGTAAGATGAATGAGGAAATAAAAGCAGTGCTTCAGCCCGCTCAGAACGCCACGACCAACAAACCCGGCTATTTTGCTGAGAAGCATGGCCTTTTGCACCACGACAAGGTCATGAACGGCCCGGTCAGTCCCTACAAGGACCACGTGTCAGTGCTGAAAGCTTATTTCGCCATGAACATGGAGCCCAACTCGGACGAACTACTGAAAATCTCCATAGCGGTCGGCCTTCCGCAGGAGTTCGTGAAAGAGTGGTTTGAGCAAAGGAAAGTCTTTCAGTACACTAACTCCAGGACTCCTCCTTTAGATAGGAACCACGTGGAGTCTGGTCACCTGGTGACCTCCGCTCACACGCCCACGAAAGACTCTTTAGGAATCCGCTCTCCGATGTCCCTGGTCAAAGGCGCTGACCGTATCACGTCCCCCTCCATCCCCGAGCTTCACAACAACTGCGACACCCCACTCAGGCTCTCGAAATCCTCCCAGTTCTCCAACCACAAGCATCTGGGGGGTAAGCTGGACCACTCCAGGAGCAACACTCCATCGCCTCTTAACTTGTCGTCCGCCTCCTCCAAAAACTCCCACACTAGCTCTTACACGCCCAACAGCTTCACCTCCGAGGACCTGCAGGCCGAGCCTCTCGACCTCTCCTTGCCGAAGCTCATGAAGGAGCCAAAGCACATCTTGACTGTGAAAAGCTGGCCCAAGCCGAGCATCACCCCGACGGACCACAACCACGTCATGACGCCCCGCGAACACGCGGACGAGCCGCTCAACCTGGCGTATCTGTCTAAGAAGGAGTTTGGCAGCCCTAACGCACACAGCAATCTGGACAAAAGCTCGAGCCCCATGTTCGGTTTGAACCCCTTCGCTGGGAAACCCCTGTACAGCTCTTTGCCTCCCCAAAGCGGGTTCCCACCGCCTACGTTCATGCCGCCGGTGCAAGCCAGTCTCCCAGGCCTGAGACCCTACCCCAGTCTCGACCAGATCAGCTTCTTGCCGCACATGGCCTACACGTACGCAGCCGGAGCGGCCAGCTTTGCAGAGATGCAGCAGAGGAGAAAATACCAGCGGAAGCCAGGATTCCAGGTAAATACCAGACTCGCTCCTTCACAAACCCCTTCAGGTGGCGTGTTTCTCTTTTCTAGCCCTCTGGTGAGTGGCGCTCGGCTTCTTTCAGACACTAATTAAAAGCCACTCAGACAGTTAGAGAGGGGAGCTCACCTCACGCCCAGTGGCGTACGAGGCAGTGAGAGAGAACCGCGGCTTCTGTGGTAGACGTCGATGCCTCGAGTGCCGAGCGCCGGCTCCTTTAGCGGCGGTGACGAGTGGCGCGTTCGAGAGACCGAGAGCAGAAAACGTCAAAGAAGCAGGTGTTCGGATGCGCCTGTGGCACTTCTGCTCTTTCCCCCGTCTCAGGTGTCAGTGAATCGGAGACACGTCTCTTTATTTCGAACCCCCTTTTTAATTTTGCTCCTTCTATTTCTACAGCAAGAAAAGCTCAAATGAGTTTGAGCATAAAGATTAATAATGCACACTCCCCATGTTCATTACAGCTCAGCGCTGAGGGCTGTTTAACATCGGGGAAACCATTCTGATAAAAAAGTATTAATAATGTTTCCTATTCTAAGTTATTAAATTAGATTTTAAAAATACAGCTAAGGGCATTTAGCTCAAATTGATTGCGGAACGATAGCGCAGGGCTTTTTAAAAGAGAGTGCGTGGAAGTATTGTCAGTCCAATGCCGGCTGTCCTTAATGAGGGCATCGCCGCTGCGGTTCTGGCCATTTTGTGCCCCTCTTGATTTAATCATTACCGTTTGAAATTAGAGGACTGTGGCAATATTCCCTACCAAGACTCTCTTCTTATTATTAGCTTCTAATGTAATAATATTTTTTCCCCATTAATTTAAGTTTAAGCCTATCGGGGTAATCTCTGCTCAGATAAATACTGCGCTAACACCCTTTCATGTATGAAATTAAACCAAATTTGAATGCAAATATATGGAATAAGGTGTGATTAAGCAGAGAGAAAGGCCTCATTTGCAATATCCTGCCTTTACATGTTGTTGTTTCTTTTTTCAGGTCACAAACACTTTAATGTTTAATTCCTAGGATTTCTACTCCAGATTTAGCTGAGAAATGCATATTGCATTCATATTAAAATGTGAAATATGAATGTATGTAAAACGTAGGTATAAAAAAACAATGCAATAGATAAATAGATGAAACAAGTAAGTTCTCTGTTGATGAGGTTGTGGTTTACAAAGTGTTTATTTTATTTTGCCGTATAATAGATTCTCAGAAAAAAAATGTTTTTTGTTAGAAATAATCATTAAAAATACAAATAAATGATATTATTAGATCATGTTATGAATTATATTATATTTGTTACAGTAGATGATTGTGACAGTTGCTATTTTTTTTTTTTATGTTTGTTGTATTTTTAAAGCTTATTCATTTGTGCTTATATTGTTGTTGGACCATGGAGTGAAAATAGTAGATTAACATCAACAGTTTTCATTAGAAATACAAATGCATTATATTATTAGATCAGGTTGTGTATTATATTATAAATTATATTATTTTACAGCAGCAAGTTTTTTTTTATTATTATTATTTTAATGCTGATTAGTGTGAGCCTGTATTGGCTGCCTTGTGGAGTAGTGTGCCGACAGTAGGACGGCTCTGACGATGATATCTGACGATGATAACTGACGATGATAACTGACGATGATAACTGACGATGATATCTGACGATGATAACACTGACGGATCTGACGATGCTGTCTCTCCGCAGAGCGAGCTCCTCGACGGGCCGGCAGATTATCTGAGCAGTCTCGACGACATGGCCGACCCCGAGGCCTGTCTGTCCAGGAAGAAGATTAAGAAAACAGAAAGTGGTATGTACGCGTGTGACCTTTGCGACAAAACATTCCAGAAGAGCAGTTCCCTCCTCAGACACAAATATGAACACACAGGTATATATACTGTTCTAGACACCATCATTTAATAACTGTCTGTCTGACTCCAGAATATTCACGCTGCTTCTTCTTGCTTTCTTTCTTTCGCTCTGTCTTTTTCCACTACCTTAATCATCTTTCTTTTATTTTCCCTTTTTAAGTCAAAACTAACATGTTTCTCTCCTGTTGACAGTCAGTGAGAGTATTTGTAAATGTAATTAATGTGGCAAAACATGACACTGACTTTGCACTAAATTAACACAATAATTAAGCAGAAATATACAGTTAAAACAAAGCAACAAAAGCTGGACTGAATAATCTCTGAAGCTTCATTTTCACTGTTAGTCAAGAATACATTCACTTACACAACACACGCTTATGTTTCTTTGACACGGGTTTTGGACGACTGCATGGACGGCAAAAATGATGTGGAATAAATTGGCAGCATTTTTTTTTTAAACTTCAGTGAACAATTTGGTCATTAAAAAATCGAACTTGACACTTATTTAATTGTTTGATTTACACTTGACATGAATGCAATCATTCACACAGAAAAGTGCAACAATACATTTGTTTAAATACATATTTTATATTACACATATTTGCTTTAAACAGTTCTAGTAGAAATCTGGAGAAATTATAATAGAATTTTGAAATGCAACGTGTGCAGTAAAAAAAAAAAAGTTAATTATTTGCAAAAGAAATCTATTAGTAAAAAAATGATTTTCATGGGTTATAATAAAACTATGACATGCGTGTTTATGCATATAAAGATAAACCTGCATATGGTTAAAAACACGATGATTTAAATGGAAGAAACCGCAGTAATGAAATTCATAAAACACCCGTTCACACACTGTAAACGCACCCGTGTGTGTGAGCCGCGGGGTCGGTGTGGGGTCGGCGCACTGGTGCACTGGTGTTCAGACGCTTCAGTCTCAATAAACCAGAGGAATAACAGTGCACACACACACACACACACAGTTTCTTTCTCTTGCATCACCATTTACAGTCAGTCTGAAAGGACATGGGAATGAATCCATTGACTTGAATACATCCTTTCTCTCTCTCTCTCTCTCTCTCTCTCTCTCTTAAATTGTTGAAAAAAGGTTAAAATAATCAAGGCATATTTTCTGTAAGAAATCACAAGCCAGAACCATATGTATGTATTTGACTTTATGTGCATTCATATAACACAATGTAGAAATAAAATAATAAAACAATTTACATGAAAAAAGCTAACGGAGTTTTTTTTTATCATCAGTTCATTAAAATTAATTACAATTCAAAGAAATAATGTATATTTATTATACATATATTGAAAGACACGTAGTGATCAAATAGTAAACATGTAGTTCTTCCTCAGAGTTTGTGTGTCTCTTATATAAAATATCATCCATAACTGTCATCCACATCTCTCTCGCTCGCCCCTCGCTCTGTGTGTTTGTACTGTCCACTGTAGGGATGAATTTTGTATAAAAATTTATTTAATAAAATAATAATATTTTATTAAAAATATGAATTTCTGCCACATGGACGTGAGCGTCTGAACGAACGCCGGAGGAATATGAGTATTAATGCACTGAAGAAAAATCATGTCTTGTTTTCCTAATATCCAAACATTCTGAAATCAAGATACATTTACTGAAGATGTGAAATAAAAACATTATAAAATGAAGTGAGTTTAGGATTAAAAAATAACAACAAATATCTGCCATTTCCATACAGTGAATCTCAGAGGCAGTTTCTACCCGTACACAGACAGAGCGAGGGGCGAGCGAGAGAGAGAGAGAGATGAGCAGTTATGGATGATGGTTTTTATAATGGAGCGAAACATAAATGCAGAAGTGTCTTGAAATAATACACAGATCTCCCCGCACTCACACACACGGAGAATACAAGCGACACACTCCTGTGTTCATGCAGAGATATTGAGCACACACACACACACACACGTCACGAGACACGAGCAACACAGCAGATATTACACCAAACCAGCCATTACACATCTGGGCCATTTCTGTCACTTTATTTAGTTTTGAGTACTCTCTCTCTCTCTCTCTCTCTCTCTCTCTCTCTCTCTCTCTCTCTCTCTCTCTCTCTCTCTCTCTCTCTCTCTCTCTCTCTCTCTCTCATGCCACCCCCCTCTCTCTCTCTCACACACACACATACGCATGCTACCCCCTCTCGCTCTTTCTCTCTCTCTCTCTCTCCCTCACTCATGCCATCCCCCCCATCTTTCTCTCTCATACACACCCATGCCATCTCTCTCTCTCTCTCTCTCTCTCACACACACACACACACACACCCATGCCATCTCTCTCTGTCTGTCTCTCTCTCCTGACGTCAGCTCATCAGGGTAGCGTTGTGAGAGTTGTGTGTGTGTGTGTGTGTGTGTGTGTTTGGTTAGCGCTGGTTTATTGATGCTCCGCTTCGGCTCTGCGAGGGAATGTTTCAGAGTAAACACACACAGACGCGTCGAGCCGAACTGCAAACACACACACACACACACTGAACTCCAGCGCGTATTACACGGCTCTGTGGAACACTGCTTTCTGATTGGTGGATCGCGCCGTCCAGCCGTGTGTTATTCCCAGATAGGAACGTTTTGTTTTGTTTTGTTTTTTTCTCAATGGAAGTTTTGTGTATAAAGATCTAATGGAATATTTCAGATCAAGACTTGTGTCGAATTATTGACTGATGTGGCAGGAATGAGCGGATAATGTACATCAGCCGTTTGTTATCTCAGAATAAACTCCTTCAGGTGTGTGTGTGAGCGTGTGTGTGTGTGTGTGTGTGGTTGATGAACACCAGGTCCGGCCGACTCTACGTCGTTCCTCTGAAGCGTTTATTGGATGTGTGTTTGGGTTAGCGTGTGTGTGTGTGTGTGTGTGTGTGCTCACGGTGTGTGTTCTGTCTTTGTGTGTCTCGGCAGGTAAGCGGCCGCACCAGTGCCAGATCTGCAAGAAAGCCTTCAAACACAAACACCACCTGATCGAACACAGCCGCCTGCACTCGGGGGAGAAGCCGTACCAGTGCGACAAGTGCGGCAAGCGCTTCTCCCACTCGGGCTCGTACTCGCAGCACATGAACCACCGCTACTCCTACTGCAAGCGGGAGGCGGAGGAGCGCGAGGCGGCCGAGCGCGAGGCGCGGGAGAAGGGCCTCATGGAGCCCACCGAGCTCCTCCTGAACCGGGCCTTCCTGCAGGGCATCCCGCCTGGATACCCGGACCACCCGGAGCGCGAGCCCATCCTGCGGGACGGGAGCCAGCCGTTCGGGAAGAGGAGCCGGCGGGACGACGAGTTCGAGGAGGAGGAGGAGGAGAGCGAGAACAAGAGCATGGACACGGACGCCGACACCATGCGGGACGAGGAGGAGAACGGCGAGCACTCGTTGGACGACAGCTCCGTCGACGGGAAGAACGAGTCCAAGTCGGATCACGAGGACGGCGTGTAGCTCCCAACACACACACACACACACAGGTCACGCTAACTCAACATTCGGAGAAATGATCCGTCAAATAACGTTCATCCAAACAGAAATCCCGATCCCCTGGCGGATCATTTAAACAACGACGCTCTTCGTTTAGATTTATTCACACGGAAAACCAGAGCTTTAGTAAATGCTTCTTGATTTAAGATTTTCTTTATATTTGGACTGGACACACACACACACACACACACACTGAGTGAGAAAGCATTGTTTGCAGGGATGCATATGCAAAAATGAAGAAGTAAAAAAAAATAAATGAAGTTTTAAAATTGTACAGTATTAAGGCCTAAAATATGTGTGGTGCTACCATCCTAAAATCACGTGTTCCATAGTGTTTATAGCACAAACTAGAAACTTGTACAAAGAAAAGAAAAAATTGCACTCTTGCTCCTATAATCACTACGAGAACCGAGAATTATTCCCTTGTATATTTATACAGTGTTAAAAACGAGATCAGTATTTAACGTGTTTCCACACACACACACACACACGTTTAGGCCTGACTCGTGTGAAGGACCGTAACAGTGTTCACACACACACACACACTCCCGTTTGTTCGTGTTGTTTGGAGAGAGCGAAGCCTTCGGACGGTTGTTGCCTTATATGCAAACCTGTAATTCAGTGTGTTACTAAAGTGCCAACCATGTTCAGTATTAGAGGAGTACACACACACTCTCACACACTCTCTCTCTCTCTCCGAATCAGACGTTCGCTCTTTTCTTTACAACGACCTTTGTGCAATTTCAATCTCAGTATTACAACCAAACCGACAGAGTCGCATCTTTTATTTGTAGGATTGAGAACATTATTTATGTGGCCCGTTTTGTATCTCCTGATTTTATTTATTTGATACTGTACAGTACAGTATTATAGTTCTCGATAAATAGATCTATTTTAGTAAAATGGAACCTGGAGTTGTTGATGAGAGCATTTATTGTGTTTTAAAACATTAATTGTGAAATGCAAATTTCATGTTCTGTTTCGTCTTTACGTTTTGTTCTTTATTTTCCAGTTTATGGAAATTCCAAAAATTTGGGAACTTTTGATACAATCTTGTGAGAACACTGTATTTCAGCTGCGGGACGGGACGAGTGACGCTTGAAATCCCATGTATGATATATAATGACTGAAAACACACCAATCTTTCCTCAAATGTCTTTGTAAGAGTATTATGGACTTTTTAATTTGTAATTTCTCTTGGAAATGACCATGCTCAAATAAAGTAGCCGAATTCAAGACCTTTTCCGGAACGAGTGAGTGTGTGTGTGTGTGTGTGTGTTTTAGAGGACACTCGTTCTCCTCCGTCATCAGATGTTCCTGAAGTTCACAGCCGGCGAAACTCTTCAAATAAAGAGCAGAGAACCTGTCGAACAAAGAGAGAGACGGCCGAGAGACACAGAGAGAGACAGCTTAAAGAGTGTGGAGCGTTCCTGCATATGCATATGAAAGACCAGATCAAACGCTCTCTCTCTCTCTCTCACACACACACACACACACACTCTCTCTGAACGATCCGTATCTCTCTCCTGACCGCACCTGATCAATTGAGTTTGCAAATGTATAAAAAGAATAAAGCGTGTGAAGATGAAGATGAAGAACGTCAGCCTCAGAAACTGTTCAAAAACTTGAGATTTAAACTTTGGTTCAATAATATAAAATCAATAATACAAAGTGGCACGCATTGAGCGTCACAGTTTCAGTGAAAATTTCCTTTTTTATTTTATCAATTGAAACAAAAATACCAGATATTAATCTTAGTTCATATTAATTTCAGCATGTACCAATACATAATTAAAATCAAAGGTTGTGTTTGTTAGCATTAGTTAATGCGCAGTGAACCGACATGAACAGATAATAATTAATAAACACTGTAACACAATTTTCTTCATGTTTAGTGAACTATTGTTAACTGATGAACATTACTGTAAAACCTGCTCCCAGACGGTATATTTCCCATAAAGTATATAATTAGGATAAAATAAGAGTCTTCTGTGCCTGGGGTTATAGTTCAGTCGGTGTGTTTCTGGAATAATTCATTATAATTCAACGATTGATAATTCCAGCGGTGATGTCACACACACACAGATTTACTGATCCCTCGTGTTTGATCTGTGTGTAATATTCACACACACACACAATAAGTGACGACCTTTGACCCCTTTCAGCCAGAACTGAAGCTCGGGTCCGGAGAGCTGTGATGACTCTATGAGTGTGTGTGTGTGTGTGTCGTTGTGTTTTTATTAATGACGCATGAACTGAACACGGCTGATGAGAGATATGAAACAACATAATTCATGCGTCAGACTGTTCATAAACACTGCTATTACTAATGAAAGGTCTTCATAATTCTGTGAATCACTCAAATATAACGACCCTGAACACACACACACACAGTACGTGTGTGTGTGTGTGTGTGTGTTGGCTGGTATGTTGGTATGTTTGGAGTTTCTGCAGTGATGATTCACTGCTGCTCTTTCGGTGACTGTACGGAGAGGCAAACACACACACACACACACACACACACTCGTGAGCTCGGTCGTTCCCTCAAACATCTCTCACAGCTTAAATCGTCCATTGCAAAAACAAACGCCACTCTCACAGATAATATAAACAGCACACACACACACACACATTTACACTGACAACATATTGTCATCTTTTCGGTAGCAGTCAATATTAATGATTTCTTTTAAATATTCCAAACATTTGATATTGGTAAAATGAGCTCTTTTTTTAATAATAATAATCATACATTAAATCATCTTTACCAGGTTTCAAAATAATATAATTTTAATTCTGAAATATACATGAAAAAAAATAATATTTCACATATTCTGATTCTGCTTTGCATTGCTGTCTAATCTGTGATCTACAGCACACACACACACACACACACACACACATCATCATCATCATCACAAGCTCTCCGTAAAACAAACTTTACAACACGTAATTATCTCCACTAATGTTCATTTTAAAATACTATTGGCCATTGCTAATTCATATTTGGTCAAAATATGTTTATAACTTGTTTTTATTCAATGTTAAACATCATTAAACGAGATTCAGAGATGCTGTAAAGTTATTGAATCATGTATGTGCAGAAAAGCTGTATATTAAAACTATTATTAAAATTAATGGAACTTTATAAAATGTAAACATATTAAACACACGTTTAGGTTTATATTAAAAATATATTTGAATCATCCATTTAAACTGATTTAAAATAAACATATTCACAGTGTAAATCTGCCTGGACTACACGAGTTTCGCATGATTTTAATTGTTTTGATCTTTTGAAACGTTTAATATTAAAATAGTCCTCATGCATGTTTGACATCACGTTTTATGACATCATTGCCACATTTACATGCGTTTAACTGTTTTCATGACTTTACTGTTCTGTGGAAATAGTCATAATAGAATAATTATTACACATTTCTATAAAAATAAATATATATTTACACAATATTGAACAAGATTCATACAGTATGTTCTAATTATCATTGGGCGTAGTCGTGTAGTTCATTAATACACTCATTAAGTGAGTCCAATCAAACTACGTTGTCTCAAAATAAAGTGTAACTAATAACTCTGACACATTATTTCAAGAGTCAAAATTTCTGATTTAACCTCAAGTTTTGCTGGACTCACACATTTGACCTAACTCAATTATTCATATCTCCCATATGCTGTCCGTACAAATCTGTGTGTGTGTGTGTGTGTGTGTGTGTGTGTGTGTGTGGCAGGGCCTGATACTCACAAAGAGAGACAGCTCAATGTCATTCAGTCAGAGAGACAAACAGACACACACGCACACACACACACACTCAGTACACAATAACATATAACTTACCAAGTACAAGCACCCCAATTAACATAATCTAAAAGAAATGAATAACTGCACAAACTGTAAATATGTAAACAAGACTAAAAATAAAACAGATTTCACACAAACAAAAATGAAGTGTATTACTGGAGTATAGTAGAGGTTACCCAGCATGCTTTGTGTCTGTGTGGCTTCAGCAGGTGTGGGTCCAGCTGTGTGTGTGTGTGTGTGTGTTTGCAGGGGGGATGTTCTTAGCGAAAGGTCCAGAATCACATGTTGTGTATTTGTGTTGTTTAGCTGTGCATTCCCAGAAGTGTAGAGTGAAAAAAAAAATCTAAATGTAATTTAGAAAAAGTAAATTATTTACATATTAAATTAATAGTTTGGTGCTTATATTTTTTATTATCTTAAAAGGCAAATTTTAATGAACTTTGACCCCACCCGTAAAATACCTTTTAACCTTTATTTATAGCTGAACATATTAGCATGCACAAGCGCACACGCGTACACACACACTCACACACAGGCCTATTCAGGCTATTCGTTTAAAAAGAGGAGAAAGGTAATTATAGGTTTTGCCAGCGCATTTTATGGAGCCTTTGATATGCAGAAACACAGATTTGAGCGGCAGGCAGCAGGTTGTGTGAGTGTGTGTGTGTGGGTGTGTGTGTGTGTGTGTGTGTGCTGATTAGATGCCTGATCAGGGCTCTGACTGCAGGGTCTCAGCTGGGGACCAGGAACATCCTTCATTACGTGTTTCCAGGGGAGTGAGTTGTGCTCGCATGGCGGCCTGTCGCGGGTTATAATCATATCTGTTCAGATTATAGGCCAGTTAGATTAGCGGTCAGTTAGATTAGCGGTCAGTTAGATTAGCGGTCAGTTAGATTAGCGGTCAGTTATCCTGATAGAGATCCCGCTCACGCTCATAAACCCTGACGAACAGTCAAAGCTGCGAAACTCAGTTTGGCCCAGGACAGAGCCCTGATGCACACCGTACCACTGCACACGCTAATGCAGCTCGTACACTCATGCGACACACACACACACACACACACATGCAGATAATGTGATTTTACATCTGTCTGTCACAATAAATATGCAAAAGTTTAACAGTCAATAATTTGTATTAAACGTCCTCATACTTACTGTTTTTAACTTGATCAGTGTTTATTGGCTGACTCTACAGCACTGCTGCCAATTCACTTGAATAAACGCGTGTGTGTGTGTGTGTGTGTGTTCTATGAGCAGACGCAGGCTTTTTATAATAGACTCGCCACTATCACCTCTTGCCGTCCAGTAATTGCACGTTCCGGACTCAGACTGTGCCGCGCCGCCGTGATCAGACCTGTTCCAGGGATATGGAAACCTCTTCCTTTTTTCATCTTTCCTTCTATATGTAATTTTTTAAGGCGAGCATTTACACACAGCCGCTGGGGATTAGGCCTAATGACAGAAGTTAATTATATTAAGTGTAATTTTTAAAAACAGTTCATGAACTGCAAATTATAGTTAAGAACCCCTTTAATGCTCTCCGTGTTAATTACATGTCTTAATATTGCATAAAAAAATAAAGGATCCAAGGGGAAAAAAAGAGGCGGAGAGAAAAACAATTTGTGAGTACATTAATTTCATTCATCACTCTGTTCAAATTGGTCGAATAGAGTGTTTGTGCCGAGACTTTATTGAGCTTTTATTGTGAGACTAAATGCTGATAAAATTACACAGCTTTAATACCTGAGGAGTGCGTGAAATCACATGAAAATGCAATCAGAGTAATTCACAGTCATCTTGCACTTTCTGCACAATACAGGTGCAAACTCGGCTCAGGATTATTTGCATCGTTTTCGAGCGTTGCAGAGAAACAAAGAAACCGTTTTTGAAATATTTAATCTCATAACCACAATCTGATGTGAATGAAAGTGTGAAACCTTTTGAAGACACCACAAACACACACTTTGTTTTTCCTTTTATTCATATCCGTATGTCTGGCCCTTGCATTAATGTGAGGAGAGCCGTTGGAAGGGGCGAGGGATCTGAACGCATGTTTCTGCTCTTGTAAATGATTTTTCTGCATGTTATTTCAAAACAGAAATGCTCGAGTGTAATGATCTGTTCAACATCTGAAATGACTCTCCTTTCCAGCTGACCAGCCGTTCGTCTCTCTGAATATTCTGCAAAAAAATGTGAATGTGAATGTTGGATTTTTCGTAATAATTGCGTGACATCTGAGTCAGCGTTTCGTCTTTCTGTAAACGTTCACAAATGATATTCCGTCAGCCTTGCTTACTTGACACATCTGATAGCAAACGTCTCGGGCGTTCGTGTGAAACGGAAACTGACACGACGAGTCTAGGAGTTCATTAGCCTTCTCATAATTATCCTTCAGGCTCTTTGGAGAGATTTTTTTTACTGATCGG